AGTGGACCATACGATAATGCCTCACAAGTCTTTGTCTTTAACAGCAAGATCGCGTATGAAAGCTTACGGATCTTCTCCTGACACACAGATATCACACCTGCCTGAGCTGTTGCTCACAGTAGAGCCTCCTCATTTCCCATCCAAAGAGAGGAGCTGGCCTAGCAGTTGCCCAGCCCTCCCACACAGATGTTCACGCAACACTGGCATCTAATCCAGTTGTGAGGCTTGGCTCCAGGGTGGCCAACACAAGTGATAAACATATATTTGGGACATGCTCAGAAGCAAATGGGGCTGAAGAATAGTATATTAAAAAATCAATCCCCACTCACGACCCCCAGTAACTCCCAGAATCACAGAATTGTCTAGGTTGGAAGAGACCTCCAAGATCACCGAGTCCAACCTCTGACCTAACACTAACCACCTCCACTAAACCGTATCATTAAGCTCTACTTATAAATGTCTTTTAAAGACCTCCAGGGATGGTGACTCGACCACGTACCTGGGAAACCCATTCCAATGCCTAACAACCCTTTTGGTAAAGGAGTTCTTTCTAACATCCAACCTAAACCTCCCCAGCACAACTTCAGCCCATTCCCCCTCGTCCTGTCGCCAGGCATGTGGGAGAATAGACCAACCCCCACCTCGCTACAGCCTCCTTTAAGGTACCTACACTCCCAAACCATCATGAGAATGAGAGAACGTAACAGTAGCTGCTGGTCAGGTATCTCAGCCCTTGCTCCTCAGATGTTATGTTAGAAGTGATGGTGTGGTATTTGGATAGATCCTGGGGAAAGGAACAGAAGACTCTTGCAGAGTGTACTTCTCATTGTACTTGCTCACTAAATGAGCAGCCAACTCTCACTCAGCACTGCTGCCACACCCACTTTGCACTAGCCCTGCCTGATAAAACCAAAGGGAAGGCAGCAAGAGCTTGGAGTTATGGACAGCTTGGAAAACACTGAGGACACAAAGGTGCTCAGATCAAGAGACAGGACAGCCCCTCCTTCCAAGAGCAAACACCGCAGTTCCTGAATGCTCGAGGCTTGCTTCTGCATGTTCAACGCTGCAGCTTTTGATCCTGCTGGGACATGCAGTGGATGAAGTGGGGAACATTGCCTGTCTGTCACGTCACAGCAGGCCTAAAGGAGAGCTGGACTGACGGGTGTAGCCCAAGTTAGAGGCATTTGTTTGAACCTCTGCTATTGCCACCTCCTTTATTTATCAAGCTGATGAAGTGTTTTTAACCTGTTTGAGTCTAGCCACATTACACGTGGACAGCGCTTTCTGTAAACTGCTGCTTCTTGAAGATAGTTCGCATGCTTCTTGTGATAAAGCCCTTAAGATACAGGGAAGAAACATGACTGTAAGCCTCATCCAAGTCCCCTCCTTTCAAGCATGAGCAGCTCCCCAGTCCCCTCAGAAACTCCACAGCTGAGACCAGAGCACAGCACATCACAGGCACCACAGCCATGGTGATGCTCAGCTCACCACAGTGGCAGATGCCACCCCTCGCAGCTGGACCATGGCCATGCTGAGAAGCTCCAGCTGTCCTCCCGCACAAGGGACATGCCAACGTGTTCAGATAACCTATGAGTTCCCCACACACAAAAGACTTGAACTGATTGCCAGGCGGTTTGCATCACATTTGATTTTACTGCTTATTTCATTTGCACTTCAGCAGCTCTGCTATCTTCTGCTTCCCAGAATCAACATGTGGAAAACCAAAGATGCAACCAGCAGGTCTTTGTGGGGACCTGGGTTTCTGGCCAGATCCCAGGCAAGAAGTACTGGCCACCGAGCAACTGAGCCTGTTGCTGCAGGCTCTGCCCAGTGGTTTGCACAGGGATGAAGGGCTCTGCCTGAGGATAAAGCATTACCCCTGCCTAAGTCTAATCACACGCAAATTGGCCTCATGCATTTGCAGCTACTCGTGGTTTCTAAGTCACCTGGTTTATAACAATAATTTTAAAGGCAATGTTTTTGAAAAAGGAAATGAACAAGCATAAAACCTGTAAAAGGGGGAAATTAATGTGGGATTTTAGACATGTTATTTATCTTCCTTTCTGCCTCTGTGCAATACTGTAGGGATAAGCACATAACTAGCTGCTTTAATATTTATTCCTATTATAGGAAAAGTAAACATTGCTGATAAGTCACTGCTTTCCAGGATTAGATTTCATATTTTAGAGACTGCTTTAAATTAATGCAAAAGCAAACATTATCTTTTCTTCTTATTCATATATTTCCCTAATGAGTTCCAAGCAAATTGTGCCTACTTATATTTTATGATTTTAAATAATTAAAACATTTTATGGAGGCAACTAAAATTCTCCCCAGAGTTAGCAGAAAGATTATTGATTGAACAGATCTCAAGCTACAAGGAAAAAATTATTATTTAGTTTAAAGGCTCATAATTTTATTCCTACTCAACCTACTGAATAAACAAGGACTGTGCATTTTTACAGCAGTCTTTTGAGTTATGCTGGGGTAGGGACATGGGGTTTGTTGGTAAACTGAAAGCAGTAACTTTCTGACACTGTGAAATTAGGTTTGCAGGAGAGTTAATGATTGTTGCTGCTGTCACAAGTAAATGCAATGCCCAGCTACTGTGTACACGCACAGCACCACAGTGTTTGTTTTAACACGCTTTTTTCTCTTTCTATTTTTAGGAAGCAAACATTAGGACTTAACTTTTAAAGGCTCACAATGTATCCAAAGACATGTATCTCTTTGGACTAAACTCAGAGATTAAAATAAGGGGGAGATCAAAATTTAGGAGTATACAAATAGACTGATCCAAGATAGTGGTTTCCTTGTTTGTTTAAAAAAAGAAAAAAAAAAAAAAGCATTATTGTTTACCCTGCAGGTCCTGCCATTTTCTCTCCAACAGGTAAACTCACACAGGTTGTGCCTCACAGCACTCAATGCTTACTTCATTTCTGTACAAGGTGTGTATTTGTGAGCTGCTTACTACAAGCAGGCATTGCTGTTGCCTGACATAGGTGAAAACCTGAAGGCAGGAGGAGTGCTCAGCTGCAATCAGAGGACCTGGAAAGCTTCATCAGGAAGCAATAGATGCTCTTGACCCCATGCTGGGCCATGAGGGCAGGAAGGGGGCATCAAGACCTTCCTGCTGCTCTGCATGCAGGGATCTGTCTGCCTCCAGCCCCACACAGAAGGTGGGAAAAGTGCTGTCACCCACAGCTTCCAGCCATCTCCTCAGACCCCAGGCACACCAGCAGGACACCGCTATACTGTTTCAGCAGGGTCACCTTTGACGTCCCCTAGCCACCTAAATGTCAGCTGCTATAAAATGCTCTCCCAAGCTACTTAATCCATCTTTTCAATGAGGAGTAATTAGCGGGGTCGTTCCAAAGCAGAAAACCACAGTTAATTGTCTAACTACTGTGCTGTCATATGTATTATATCAAAGAGATTAATACACCCTGAAAGAAATCACAGAGCCTTCTTTGGTTCCCTGTGTATAGCTGAGCTAGGTGGTATTCCAGTGAGCCCCTAAAGCATCCCCATTGTAGAAAAACATGAATTCACCATCAAGGTGCAACTACAACATGATACTACGTCAAACCCTTGACAAGGCTGTTCACATACCAAAAGCTGCAGTTTCTCCTCAAACACACAGAGCCAGTTTCCAAGGGGGCTCTAGGTCTGCACATAGCAGTTTGCCAGGAAGAAACCCCCTGCCCACACTTTTACTGTGGTGGGTTTGACCAGGAGATGCAGAAGACAAAAGAGGCAAAAAGCACAGGTGCATTTAAACACACAGAGAGGCAGGGCCCCAAATTCCCTTCTGTGTGAGGGAAAGGGACCCAGGTGACACCAAGGGCCCTCTTACTCCTTTCTCTCACCCAGCTTCGGTTACTCTGTTGGGTGCTGCCTCATTTTCCTTCCTTGATTTCCAGCACAGTCACTCACGTGCCAGCTATGCTATCATGCCCTTAGCACAAGCTTAACTTCAAGTGCGAGTTTAAACCTCTGACCACAGGTACGCCCTTAATGAGAACTGCAGACCTGCGGCTGAGGCCTGTTTGCTGAGCTTACAAAGGCTACATCCACATTTAGGGCTACATCCACAGACCGCATTAACGGCACGTGGTCAAAGCTGCAAAGCTAACTCTTCCCTCACTCCCTTGCTATAAAACAGGCCGAGCTCCCTGTGCCCACAGGCCTGTTGCCCAGGTGCCCGCTGCGGCCTGAAGCTGGCTAGCTGGCACATGCTGCTAGGCCAGGGCAGGCACATCAACAGCTTGTGGCCCTGCCCTGCCAAACCACTTACAGCAGTACCCCCTATTTCTAAATCCAGAAATCCCAGGCAGAACTACGGAATGATCTCATTTTAGGACGAAGCGCCTGAAGCGGCCTAAAGCACAAATTTCTCAAGGCAGCGGCTATTGCTTCCTGCAAGATATCACTCTCTGCACTCGTGAAGCAAGCAATGTTTTGTCTCACATAAGCGACCAAATAACCTTGCTCCATGACACAACAGCACCTCTTGGGACACAAGTGTGCTGCTAAGAGAGACTTCTGGAAGCAGCAAGAAACAAGCAGCCACAGCACAGTTCTCTGCTACTGCTTCAGGCAAGGAGAAAACAGGGATATTGAGCCAGAGTGGTTAGACAGCCCCCAGAAAGAAGAAAAGTTGAAGAAGTGATGCAAATAGATCCAATAGCACACTCAAGTACCCTGATAGAGTGAGGACCTCTCCAACAAAGTGCTAGGTTTCACCAGAAAACCTGACGGTCTTGTACCAGACTCAACCTCGTAGCACATTTCACAATGAACTCTAAGAAAGTAAAAGAAAAATGAAGTGTTTGAGCAAACACAGGCAGATATCAGCCTTCTTTTACAAAGGCTGCAATGCGAACCTGCAGCCGGGCTAAGTAACAGCACCCTAACAAGTTGCTTGTGAATTGCAGTCTACTTAAAAACATGTCATGAAACACTAGTTCCCAAAACACCAGACATTACTTCACACTTACCTGGTGCTGTTTTCTAGCAGAAAATACCCCCAAAGCCACCATCAAGAAGACTAGACAGAGCTGACCCCCCTGGACAAACACCCCAGCTACAGCCAACAGCCTGCATCCAAGTACTCGCTCTCAGAAGCAGATGCTGCTAATTAGAGAAGTGAGAATCACACCAGGTGATCCTCATGATCCTAACCCACCAAACCCACTCAAAAAGGTAGAGACAAAGAAATTTGCAAAACCTGTAAATTTGCCCTTCACAACACCATCAAAAATAACTAACTAAATAAATGAAATCTGAGAAATCATCATGATGCTAAAACACCTTATCCCTCTGCTGCCCTCCAGACCACTGTCAGCCACCGATTCCCTCCCAGGGCAGCTGTCTGAGCCACCACAGACCCTGCAGCCTTCACCCAGGGGCCTGTGAGCAGTCACCCCAACCCCTGTCTCTGTCAGCAGGACTCCGTTCAGGCCCAGGCAGCCACCCCCGAGGGTGGTCCTGGCAGAGCAGTGGGGCTCAAAACACCTAGCGAAGGGGTTTTGACACGCTGCACTGGGGCCAGGGAATGAGGCCCTGAAGACTAATGAGAGCCGAGGGGAGTGGGGTGAGGCAAGGCAGCCCCCAGCAGCAAGCAGTGGTAGCCCCGAGACAGCAGTGCTGGCTGTGCAGTCACAGCCCAGCCCCGTGGGCAGGCTGGTGTTCTAGTTTTGTCCAAGACACGGACTTTGTACATTCACAAAAGTAAACAAAACAGTCCTGACAAAACCTACCTCATCTTCCGCCCTTTACTGGAATATCCTGTGAGACAGCTTTCAACCGGTCCCTCGGTGTGGCAGGGATCTCGATGTAATTGTCACAGCAGCGGGGAGCAACCGGCAACAGCTTCCTGGCGGGGGACTGCTGCCTCACGAAAGTGTACATGTGCCTTATGACAGGACAGGCGCTGGTCAGGGAGTTGCTCTGCTCTTTCCCCTGTTCCTGCACTTCAAATGCTTGATTGGGACCTAAATTAACTGCAGAAAGAGGGTGTGGGGAGATTTTGTGAACGACCTGTGTGTCCCTGTGGTGCGTTGCCACCACAGTCCGTCCTGCCACACCATGGGGCCTGGTGCCACCAGCTGCCTGATTCCGAAAAACCCCAGGTCAGGCAATGCTTCCAATTCCTCCCCTCTGCCTTCTGGCCTCTGACAGAGGGCACATTCTGCCATCCTTTTGGCACGTGCAGCCAGAACTTCTTGTTGGAAATCGAGGGCCCTTGAGCCATTTTGAGGCTGCCAGACAAGGAGATAACCTGCCTCTTCAACCCATGTGGCTGGGCTCAGGGCAGGGATGAGCCCGGGCAGTGGCTGCAGGCCACTGGTGTTGGAGAGCCAGAACAAGGCTCCACAAGCGTCAATGCACGCTGTCCTGCTTGCACACACACAGGTGTGGGTGACAGCCGGGTGCTTTGGCCTAAGGTTTCCCTCCCCTCCAGCTCTGTTTTATTATCTAAGAGCCAGGCTTAGGCTTACTGCAAATATTATGTCCCCATTCGCTCAATGAGCTAATCAAAGTTATGAGAGAAATATCAAATAAAGCAGCTCTTTCTGGTTTAATTTCGTTCCCCGGAGAGATCAGAAAGGAAAGCAGCGGCCACCAGGTGGCACACCCGCCCCACAGGCCAGCCTGGTGGCTCGCAGCCCCCCCGAGCCGCTGCTCGCCCCCTGCCCAGCCCGGGCAGTCCCGGCCGGGCCGAGGGGACAGCCACCCCTCCTAGCTGCTACGGGGACACTTAAGAGATTGGGGAACTGCAGACAGTAAATTATGACAACGCTGTTTCAGCTGCTGCAGCAGAAAACTCCTCCATCCCATCCCTACAGAAAAAATACCCCTCCTCATAACTCTTACCTGGATAACATCCAAGCCCTAAACACAGCATAACTTTTGATTTCTCAAATGAAAAATGTAAGCATGTCTAATAAAGATTTGGTTAAGGTGTGTTTTCAGTATCACCGCCATGGATCAAATAAAATGTCTAGGGACAAATGCCATTAGTTACTTGTAAGCTACTCCCTCCGCTCTCCTAACCACAGCAGGCTGGGGCTCAGATAGAGCACTTGTACCCATGACTCACATAGCACACCCAGCTGAGCTCCACGATGCACACCAGATAAGACTAATGAAAGTAGTAAGAGCTGTTTAAATTTTAATGCTTATAGCATAGGTTGAGTAAACATGAAAGATTCTGAGTCACCAACAATGAGGAATTAAATAAGCAGAGTCCTGACTTTAGCACCAGGGTCTTACCCCAGACCCAGGACAAAGAACAACCCACAGCAACACCCACAGACTGTTGAAAGATTTCTGCTGTGTGCGCTACAGTTAACTGGCAGGAATTGTGGTGCAAGTATTTCAGCAGAATTGGTCTCAGCAGAAAAAACTCATTTAGAAACACGTGGTACAGTAAAGGTCAAACAGCTGGAGCTGAGACGAAGTCTGATTGCTTGCCATCTTTAAAACTGTCAGTGCTTTTCCTAACACTGGAAGTTAAATATGAGTGTACATAAGAAATCTAGATAATCTAAATCTATGTAAAACACACCAGATTCTAATAGTAGTTTTTAGAAGTTTTAAGTGTGTATTATTTTTCCAGAAATATCTGTGCATGAAATTTTTGCCTTTTTTATGTGTTAGTATCATTCTCACAGCTAAAGCAAAAGCTAGTTACACCATAAGCTCACAAAAATGAACTCAGTTTTTTTTTGTGCTTTCCATTTGACCCAACAACATGTAGGAAGACTGAAAACCTTAAGGCAGGCCCAGTAACTTTGATTAACTTTGTAATAAGGGAAACATCACTACAACACAATGAACACAGACCCCACAGTAATTGATATGCTTCATGTTTTTATTCCTATTCCAGATCAGGAACAAAAATATTCCATGGCAAAGGGAGGCTGACAAACACATTAGAACAGCTTGCAACAAATACAGCCTTTTCATGCCACAGAAGAACCCAACCACATTTTTTCTTTGGGTTTTCCTTTTTGGTAGTTCACAGGAAGCATTTGTACCTGCTGTTCAATCACTGCTGCCACAGGTGACACCCAGGATTTTTATTTTTTATCAATTAGTAGCTTACCTTGCATAGAATTGCTCCTGTCTTCACTGACTAATATAAGGAAGCAAGGACCTTTTATGTAAACAGGGTTGAATCATTTACACATGGCAGTCTTATCTCTTCAGTTCTACTTCCTGTAAAAGTGCAGTCACTAGGTTCAAACACAGCACCCTGTGCCAGCACAGAGGATTGCCAGTAGTAAAGCCAACCGCCAGAACAGGACATTAGAGGGCAGTATCCACACTCCATTGCTACCTGGCTTTATTCCAGCAATACCCAAGGGAAAGTTAAAAACCTAGGCCCCAGTGTTTGGGTGTGAAAGGCTTCCACACCCAAAGGAATTCCAAACAAGTTTCCTGGTTTCTTAAGACTGTAGTGCACAAAAAGCAGATTTAAGAACATACTACACCAAGCTGATCTGAGAGTGCAATGTTGGTTGATAAAACCTGGAGAACTTCTGCAAAATAGGAAGAATAAATGTTTGAGTCACTCAGTAAGTTGTGCAGAGGGTATGATTTAATATGCAAGGAGTCTTACTTAGCAAAGCTGATTACATCTCCTTGCAATGTGCACACAGACATCCACTATTCCAGCTGTACCAGGCAAGAATGCAATGCTACAGTTCACACAAACAAGATGCACATCCATCCTCAGGTCACTCACGATCTCAAGTGTTTTATTTTGCTCAGAACAACAGCTGAGAAAAGTCTGGCGAGTGCTGAAAGTTATCATTAAGGCTTTTCACATTTTCTAACATAATGAAAACATTTAAACTACCACCATTCCTCACCAAAAAACTCCAGTTACACCACTAGCTTCTGTAACATACTTGAAAAGAAAGTTTGAAAGCCATTTCTATAAGCCTTACTTGTGAGATGCCAGGAGATAAGACACCAATCTTCTTTTTCTTACTTAAGGTAGCAATTTATGACAATATTTTAGGAAGCTCAACATTTTCACATTTAACTACTGCAGAGCCCTTGTAATTCTCACATTGCCTATCAGTGTCATAACAGAGGGAACTGCTTAAGGTTTCTAGGCTAAGGACTAGTGAAGTGATTCACATGAAAATAGTAAAATAAATGTGTTCAGGTTTTTCATCACTAATTTGTAGGAAGAAGCAACAAGAAACTCTGAAGATCTTCTTTTGCTTCATTTGGCTATTACTTAACCTCAAGAATGACAAATACAGGTGAGCAAACAGTGAAGAAAAGGGCTAGGGTAGTTGGTTCCTGAAACACTAAGTGTCAGACCACTACAGCCTTATCAAAACCCTCCAAAAACCAGAGCAACAACAGTACTGTAGCCAGTGTTGGTTTAAGGATGCAAGGCATCGGTCATAAACAAAGACAGTCCTTTATTTGCCCAAGTGCTACAGTTGGATGATGCATGCAGGCACACTTTTTTTTATTTCTGGGAGAAGCCTGGAGATGCTTTGTGTTACACTAAAAAGAGAACAGGGAATAAAACTGAGTTGTCTGGCCACACAATCTCTAGCTTTAGAAGAGCTTGTGTAAAAATACTTTGAAGTATATCAGCTCAAACATTTGCATGCAATTACACAGTAACAAATGACACCTTATGTGCTGCTTCTTCCATCACCAAGTGGTAGAAGTGTCCCAAGAAAAGGGTATTCAAGTGAGAATGGCACTAAAGGTTCTCTGAAGCGTAAGTCTAGTGACCTATGCTGCCAAGCCTTCCCTTTTCCACGTAAAAAAAACTGTTCTAAGACACTACCAAGCCCACTCAAGAGACTGAGATGACAGCATAAGCCTGGTTCCACCTTCTGCAAAGAAGGTGGTTCAATTATTCCATAGCTAAAGCCTGGACACAGGCAGTTCGCTATAGTATGTAATTCAATAACGAGGGCAACAGCACAAGATGGACCAAGAACTCAAGTAAATCACTCTGATGTTTAGGGGCATTAAGTAACCTAACACAACCATAACCTAACCCCCTTCCTTTTAAAGGTATGTGAACTACAGGCTGCAAGACCAACTGTAAAGAGATAGCTTTCTCAGCCATGAGACTAAAGAAACAGACTCCAAGCAATTCCCTGAATAGAGTAAGATCTTACTCTTAAATGTAAGAACTGTGACTGCATGTAATACATCCCACATTAAAAGCAGCCACAGCTACTTATGCTTGACCTTAAGAGTTTGATTTTAAGAGATGCCACCCTAGAAAAAAATACGTTTTTCTATTATTCCACATTTCTGATCATATCTACCAAGATTTATTAGTCAACGGGAAAGTGAAATTGGATATATTTTCCTCCATTTCCATTTAAAATTAAGTCTTTATTTATTTTAAGCAGAAACTTTCAAAGCAGTTGGGCTAAGCAGGCTGTTTTATCATGACACCATTACATTCAGTTGCAGAGAAGTCGCGCTTCAAACAATTTTAAGCAAAACAAGTGTTTGTGGGTTTTCTCCCTCTGCCGTTGGGCAAAACATCAAGTAACAGTTTTTAAATGTCTCAATGTGGCAAGCATGTCTTTCTGCATTCTCTACATCAGCAGGCCAACTAGTAATGCAGTTAGGTCTTGCCCATGGAACAACAGAGGGAAGGGAATACAACCATCTGATATGACAAATCTTAACTGACAAAAAAAAAAACACATTCAACTTGCTTGAGGAATATAACTGTTTGGTGAAAACCAGCTATATTCAATGTTGTCATGGGTGGGCTGGGTCCGTAATTGTACAAAGATACAGAGCACTACATCTTGGGTTGTTTTTAGTTATAACTTAACTGAGCACTACCCTCTTATCTTGACTCTTAAAATATCTGAGGCACAAGTATGTGTGTGTACTTGTTTTATTCATAATTTGAGTTGTCTCGGGATACCAAATGTATTTCTATTTAAGGTGGTATAACAAAACTGTTGACCTCATTTCAAGACATCCACTGATCCATTTTTCATTCAATGGCAATATCGAATGTTAAAAGGAACATAAAAACAAACATGCACACAATTGTACAGTTTTCATAAATGTCTATTTCATTATTTGTGGGTAGCGCATTAAACAGTTAAATACATTTAAATAATGTTTAAGTGACTGCACTAATGCAGAATTGTAACTAGATGGGTAACCAATTTAACTAGAAACCAGCTAACAAGTAACTGTCTAAATACTTCAAATACAGCTCTTGTTCTAGGTCATCCTTCTTGGGAAAAAAAGCCTGCTGGTCACATTGGAAATACATTTTAAGGCCAAATTCTTCCGATATCCCTTCTCTGCAGCAGTTTCTTCACCTTTTTAAGCCTCCAATTCCAGGCCAAGACCAAGTTTATGGCCACCAGCATTGATGCTCTTCCCATCTATCAGGGCAGACAGAGTAAGCTTCACACCTGTAAGATATTAGAGAGAACATTTACAGCATATAATCACAATTGCTTTAACTGCAACTTAACCTCTGTCATTTCAAGTCCCAGTTGTAGCTCTCAGTTCATTACTTTGCTCCCAATTACTCCACAGAAGAATTCATTTACATATGAAATATACCCAAAGCTAGTCATGTGAATCAAGCAAACTAGATCTTTTTTGAAATACCATTTTATAAACCACATATCCAAAGACTCTACTTGGTAAGTGCACAGAAAGTTTCTTCTTCTACATTATGGTATGCATGAAAGAGAGAAACTGAATAGAATGACAGACACTTGTGCCAAGCAAGGGACAGAATGAAAGCTATGTATTTTACCAGGTTTCAAATGAATAACTAACCAATAGTAAGGTAGCATTAACAGGTGTTTTCATATTTAAACAGAAAAAGTTCAGTTCCTCAGATTTTTTCTGAACATGCAGATCAGGAAGTGTGCTGTTTTGATTAATAAACATTTTTCGAGATCTACTATAGTTCAATAAAGTAGGTCAGGAAAAAACAAAGCTAGGAAAGACTTTTTGCACAGCCTTAAAGCTAAGCTATCAAACACAAGTCAACTGTTAAATAAATAAATAATATAATGCAGAAATACCATTAGATACAGTGTTATCTGTCTTGTTTATCTAAGTGTTAATGTGCAACATAACCTGCTGTCAAACACCTACTTTTCAAGACAAAGATATTCTGAAGAATCAAAATAGTTGCATATCAATACACAGATCTCAAAACTCTTCTGTGTGATGCATGGAAGATATGTATGCTAAAGTCATGCATGTGGAAGTCCTTACCTGGCCTCAGGGTCTGGGTGTAACCCACTCCAACTAGACTAGAATTGTTCACTTTTGCCTAGAGAAAAATAAACAAACAATTGAAACATAACTGAAGAGTTCTTCATTACCATTCAGGAGCCAGAACTTAATAACCAAACCCAGTATTACTTTTTTCATTATCTCTGTGCTTACTTCACTGTCTCTCTAGCTATGCCTATGCCCCACAACTTAAGCTGAAAAACTGAAACCTATTTACATGCAGACAGGTCACAGGGACACGGAGAACTGCTACTGGAAAGTAGTTTGGCAGGTGCACTTACACCCATTCTTTTCAGAAGGCCATAACAACTCACCACCAGTTTCCCAAAATAAGACACATTTGAAGAATCCTACATTAGTATTTTGCTGGACCAGTCAGTCAAACAGAGATCACTTCATAACACAGTAAACACAGTGCAAAAATTCTCTCAGTCTGCATCACTTGCTCTACAGAATGATTCCAGCCTCATAATGAGCAAAGCTGTTCTGCATTATCATCTTTGTAACCATCTCTTACCAGTTCTCACCATGAGAATTGGAGTGTTTCCAAAAAAACTGTTCAGAAAGATCTGTAAGCTTAGGGTCAGATTTGAAGGTTGTGTTGTCTGTCTTTTTTAATATACAAATGTGAAGTCCTGCAGAGCAGGGCAACATTTGAGTCAGATTCTAAAAGAGATGTTGCTATATGTAAAGTAGAATGATTTAAATACTGCTGCTTTTAATTATAACCATCTGGATTTTAAGAGTAGCTTTTACTAGACTTTTTGACCAATTATCTTTTGTACTAACAACATACATATGCTCAGGAACTGAAAAGTTGCTGTTTAGAATAACCCTTTTAGTTAGAGGCATACTTACAGAGATAGAAGCAGTGGAATCCAACTTGTATTTAGCTGCAATACCGAAGCGAGTGCTGTTGCTACCTGCTGTCCAGGACAGGTTTACAGCAGTTTCAAGATTGTCACTCACTTTCTGGTAAATTGACCCACCAAATTCAGAACCATCATTGCTGCACAAATATAAAAAAGAAGTTACCTCCTTATATCTGCTTAATCCCAAGTTCTAAAAATACAGTTCATCTTATTCAAACGAGAGTCAGAAACTTTGAGTTGTTCCACACTTCTACATTGGGTTAAGGGAGATGAAAAAAACTTCACAGCAAAATTAAACTGCAATAATCCATGAAAATATCTTTCAGTTTGCCACAGTTAACTCTCAAACTGATTTTAAGTACTTCAACAGGATTCCAGTTTACATGCTTAACCTAATAGATAAATGTTAATTATGAGGAAACAAGCATTCTGAATTTGATTACTGAACATACCTGATGTTTCTAACGATTTCAAAGATTCTTTTTAAAAAAAAAAAAAAAAACTGTCACAGTATTTGAGATTACTGAAGTGAAATGCAATTCTTACAGCTTAGACTAAGGTGCTTTGCAGCTAACCCTGCCTCAACTTCCACAAACCCTGATGGAACAATCCCTCGTCTCTTTCCAAAATAGCTTGGTTTTGAAACAAAGGTGTTATGTCCTACATAAACACACTGAAACAATGACAGTTGGTATTAGATTGAGAACACCATATTCTTCCATAGATTATGATCAGCTTGTTCTGAAGGACATCCAAGCTCTCTAAACACCGCAATTTGAATGAAGTTCAAAACCAAGATGCCGTACACTTTAGTTGCACTCTAAGCATTTCATGCACTCATCCCATATATGCAAGATGAAGAAGCTACTCAAGATGTACAACAGCAAGGCTCTGTTCTTGCTGCAGAAACTACCTTTGATCTACTTAAATAGCTCAAGGCTAATTGCTACCTCTAACAAATCTACTACCCTTGTATTATAGTCAGGTACAGTTCAATGTATTGGGAAAACTAGAAGCAGCATTATGATCAGCTCAACATATCTGGGAGTTATGCATATTGCGCTTCCATTTTTGATTTCAGCATCTGGAAAACTGCAGCATGTATTACGCTTTAAACGATAAGCTATGAGCGAGTACTCACTGTTTTGAAAAGAGAAACTAACATCTGTTTAAGTTTGCTATTCAAAAGAATCATGCTACTTAAATGCTTGAAATACCAAGAGGTGCTTGGAAGGCGTTTGTATTCTGACTAGAGTGAAGGGTAAAGAAAACCTGCTTCTGTAAAACTGGACACAATTTTAAGTACTTACACATTAGTGTGCAGTTGGAAGTCTCCAGTCTTGTAACCCACAGAGAAGTTGTTCCTTGTCAATTTTGATTTGGCACTATCAAAAGTCATCTGATAACCAGCCAGCCAGCCTTCATAACCGAAGACAGCTGAACCATGGATTGCAGGCCCAGCAAAGTCAAAGTCAACATCACAACCGAGGTTTAGGCATTCACGTTTATATGCTGACTTGATTTTACCACTCTTCTTTCTGAAACAGAGAAAAGGTTATTTTAAGAGAGGGCTTGATCTTTCCTCAATGAACTGCCAAATTTGAGCCATATGCCTCAACGGAATGTATCTAAATGCCACACACGTGCCTCCTCTAGACTGATCCAAAGCACAGGTAACCCACCAAAAATACAGAAAAAAACATCAAAACATGTATTGTTATAATGACAGAAACATCTTCATCCCTCCTGTAATATTCCAACTAAGTATTTCTATCCCAGAAAATGAGGAAAGTAGGCTGCTGTGAAGTGTACAATACTAAGCCTGTTGAACAAGATGCGATGCTGTTCAGCAGAAGCCTTTAGTAGCATTAGGATTTGCCAATGTGGATCAATAACAATTGATTTGACAGACCAGATGGCTATTTACCAACCATGGATGTAGGTAGTCAGACGGTAAAGAGTTAAAAATTCTTACCCTGTATTTGGTGAGAAAGTTGTATCAAACGTCAACTTCAAGCCTTTGGCAATCTAATTGGAGAGAAGACAACACTATAAATACAGTTCTGCCAGTAAAGTAAGTAAGCTGAATGCTTCCCTAATCTATTACCTGATCTTCAATTGCAATTTCTGTTCCCAGAGTGTTATCTGTGTTCCATTTTTCTGTGAAAGTCAGCCCATATTCAGCCCACTTGTATTTGGTCTCCAAGCTCCCATTAACTTTTCCAGTGTCGGTGTTCGAAGAACCAGATGTTGTGAACTCCTAAAAAAGGACAGTGTCCATGTAATACTGAAGATACATGTGACCATGGAAGTCTTACACAATGACAAAAGACCCTTCTTTATGAAATATTAAGATCTTGTTATGCTATGTAACAAGCTGAACAACAGACAACTTGGGGGACAGACATAACAGGAACTAACAGCCAGGTGATTCACATCCACATAGAGGACTCCCCACCTCCTCACCCTCATTTCAACTGGGATGTTTGTGTCAGCATTACAAAAACATATTGGTTTATAAAGTAACTCAAAAGCAAGGCTGTAGTTACTATAAGCATTCTGCTCTAAAGGAAATGAGTTCCTGAAATATAAGGTCACCTCTGATACTCATAACAAGCAAACCAAAAGCCAAACCAAGAATCTTTAATACTTGACAGCACATTCCCCTGCTGGGAATGACAACCTGCAACTGATACAGGATTCACATCAGAGCCTGTATTCTGCATAAAGTTTTAGCAGTTATTACTGGTAGTCCTTGACAGAAACAACCTGAAATAAACTTTAGAACTTTAACAGGATCATAGGGCTCTGCAAACACAGCAGGTAACACACCTCTAACAGCTACTTATTCTTGTAACTTCCTGTTCTGATCGGCACCAGGGATCTACCTTTACACCTTGCAAAGTCTGCTCTAGAAATAGATAAGTCATGGAAGGCACTGCTTGCGTGACCGAGCCATCTTGCATGGAATATCACTGCGGCCTTTTACTACTTTTAAAGAAGAGTCACAGATGCAAAGTGCTATTTCACTACCAACTACTTCATACAGGTATTAAGATGTCAAAAAGTTCCAAAAACACAAACAGTACCACAAACAACTTCTGAGTACCGTAGTTGAAATATATATTTATGTGTGTGTCTGTGTATATATATATATATAAGAGCTGATTTTATTTATTGGCCCATACTGCAATACCAGTGTTATATTCAGAAGTCTGCGCTTTAGGTGCTTCTGAAATTTTTACACCAAACATTTATCATTATTAAAACTAAATGTACTTAATAGTATCTGGAAGATGCCCTTCCGTCATTAAATAATCATCAGAACACCCACCCTCCCCCCCCCCCCAAATACAATGAATAAGTACTTGAACTCACCACTCCACTTGCAGATTTTGTTTTCACATCCAGCTTCACCAACCCAAACCCTTAATAAACAGAAGTCGAAGTTAAAAAGTTGTGCTTTAATTAAGACAAGATACACTTTCAAAAAGCTGTTTTCCCAACCTCACTGCTGAGACTGCTGTGTATATACATAAACTACAAAAACCACCATAGACTGACTTCCGTAACACTCAAATTACAAGTACTACTGCAGCTAGAGGAGGCCACCCTAACAAGAAGCCAGGAGTTCTGTTCTGTCATCACCAAACAGTAAGCAGGGAGTAGCTGCTCGGTTGTATACTGCACATCTAACAAGATAATACCCAAGAATTAACGTATTTACTGACAAGATCCATTCTCTTGTGTTTCCTTGATGGCATCTACTATGTACTCAATGCTATTTGAAGAGCTATCCTAATGCATAAAATTCTGTCTGAGCACTAAGAAGAAATATCTCAAAGGAAAATCACTAGGAAATGCACAAGTATTGGACTTGAAATGTAAGTATGTCATTTCACATTTTTACCCTCCGACCTGAGTGTTGATCTTGGTGAAAAAACCCTGCATGAATTCCTGAAGACTAGAAATAAACAGCACTGCAAGTAAGCAGATTTAAACTATGCAACTGCATATTAAGCATTTACAGATTTTTGAATTTTATTATCCCGAGAGCTACTCTTCCTGCTATTCCAAAAGAAGCACTATAATGTTACAGTGGTAATATACATTAAATATATATTTGTAGCTCCCCTTTCTATACCAACAAATGCTGTGGCACAAAGACCAGTACAGGAAGTGTGCTCCTAAGCTAAGTAACAGTGGATGCTCAGTCTCACATACTTGTACACCTCTTTCCTGACATGTGTGGCTAAGGCAGTGAGGTTTAACAGACTTCACATCAAAATAGCCCACAAAAAGCCTCCACTGATCTGTTATCAGCTGACAGAAATGACACAAAAGAAACATACCCTCCCCAAAAACACAGGCATATGAGTATTCAGCTTTACATACAAGCTACATACAGCAGTCGATTCACTGCTGCAACACAGACCATGCTTTATTTTCTAAGAGGCTCTATTCTTACCATATCCTTTATTGAAGATATCTCTGGCAGATTTGCCAAGGTCTGCATACGATGGAGGAATTGCCATTGGAGCTGAAAGGTAATGAGTGTAATTAATAGTCCATCTTTTACCATACACACACACCCCAAAATGTTACCACAACTCTTAAAGATGCCTTCTTTAAGGCAGATTAGTCCACAAAAGCAGTTAACAGACACATGGTTCAAACAATTACAATGTTCTGTGAAACACACAGATTTTCAGTGATGTTCACCATGAACACTGTGTTTCCTGTGCATATGTAACCTGATTATTGATGAGAAAGTGTCACTTTTCAAGTCGACTTCACCACACACCTTTCATTACCACAAGCTAATAGCTCACATTCCCAGAGTTGGCAGTAACCAGTGAAAACCAGGAAACCGGAAATATGAAAAACTAATTGAGACTTATTTCTGCAAGTCCTACAAAGCCAAATTTAACAGATGCCTATGAAAGTTATTTGAGAAGACCTACAATGTTTCATTTTTAAGATGAAAGCATGAGGTTTAAAATACAGGGCAAAGTAGACACTAAAATTTAGACCTAAGATTTGGCATGGATATTTGAAGGATGTTACCTAGCCATCACTCAGATGAAGGTCTTCCACCCTACAAAGTACAAGAGCTTACGTTGCGGGGTGGGGAGGGTGAGGGGTGGTTCCTGTTAGCTTAAAACAAACAGTAGTAGGAGTGCTGGATCAGTGAGAAAATGACTTTTACGGAGAGCTTCCAGACAGGGAGCTTCTGACAATCTGACTGTTAAAGAACCCATCGTTCAAGACTAGCCATGGCCCAGTCCCCCAGCCTGCTGGATACCAGCCTAATGTCCCACACAGGACCACATGGTGCTCCTCCTCCCCATGAAGATGCTCTCTATATGTATCTTCCTTAGGTGACTGCTTCACTACTTCAACAGCAAAATGTCATAAGTAGGAGCATTGTATTTTAAAGTCTTAAAATGCAGAAAAGGGAGCATATTTCCAAGACTTAGTAATTTTCCCCAAAGGGCCAAAAAACAAAGGGGAAAAATACTAACTACACAAACACAATAAAAAGCCTTAACACAGAAGCAAAATGAGAAGTCCTCTCTTATCTTTTAAAATTAATCAGTCATTTGTTTTGCTGAAAGCCAGATGAACATAATTCACTGTTCATCCTACTCTTGTATTAAAGAAAAAAATTTACTTTGTTTTAAAGTAAACAGAAAAACATCCTTAGAACCTAAAAGAAATAAGGGCAGTACTCTCATATATTAACTTTCAACTGAAAGCTGAAAAGATGACTTCCAGTTTTAGAAAGCAATTTTAACTAAGATTTATATTTTCTTCTGCATATCATTATGAGTGTATTCAGTAATAAGGGATTTCAATAATATGGGATTTAAGGCAGGCTTTTTATTCTTCTTTTAAAGTCACCTTTCATCTTCTCTTGGCCTTATCTGCATAAAAGCAGAACTTGCCTGAATCAGGCAAGGTATTCCTGATTTGGAATAATTTCCTTTAGGGCATCATTCCACTAAACACACTGTTTTAGAAGAGTAGCCACACAAAAACTGATTATACTACCTACCAGCTATAGCCTAACTGTAATCAACTGCTACTATTTAAAAAGTGTTTTAGCATGTAAGCAAAAGCCTTGTGCCTAAACATCGTTTCTCCAAAATTTGTTTCCTCATTGTCCGGAGTACCTCTCTCCATCTTCCTAAACCACAAAAGGAAGACTTGAACTGCATCATAGCAAAATCACATATGTTTACAGTTTAGCTAAAAATAAATTAAAAATAAATCTTTACTAAGGAATGCTAAGCTCTACATCCAAGCCAGTAGAGAAAGACATCCAGCACTTACTGAAGAGTATTAAGAAAATAGACTTATTAACAGAGTCATTTGTCTGTTGAAAGAATTACTTGAACATGCTTGAATCTTGAAAAGGCTCAGCCCAAGTTAAAGTCCACAGTAACTAAGATAAGCTTCAGGACAAGATTCAATAGTGGAACAGATACGAGTCCCAGTGTCATCACAGGGAATGATTTCTGTGATCTAGTCAATAAAACTATGAGATGTAGGACCAAATTATTAGAAATTATGGAACAGTAGTCTTCCCACACTCTAAATCCCTGCTGTACAATTCATTAGTAGTTTAAAATAACATAGAGGTTTAGCTACCTACTTCTCCTCTGAATAAGTCTCTAGCCTTTAGCATAGACATACTTTGACAGCACAAATGAGCTTTTATTTCTTGTTTTAAATACTTAAAATCTGACTAGACAATCACTACAGATAAGATATTTATATTAAGCCATAAAGGCCTGTGAGGTTAACAAACTGGTATCTGTCTAAATTTAAAGAAACATTGCAGTGAAAGGATGTCACTGTTTTATCCAGCCAAGTTAAGCTTCCTCCCTATGTGAGGAAGCTGACCAGTATTTGTCAGACACTGCAGTCTACAGATCTAAGTTTCATGATTAAAAGTTAGAACAGCTTATGACCTTCACACTACTGTTTTACTTCTTTACTAACAGTGATACAAGAAGAAAAAAGGAAAAAGCCCAAGTTAGTTTTTGGTATACTAAAGACTTGATAAGCTAGTGTCATCATGAGAAAGCTCATTAAATGAGAACAGGGCCAAAAAAACTCATTCCTGTTTCCTCTAGAGTTGGTAAGATAGCTAGGTCTGCAAACTCTTACAACCAGAAGTAATTTTCTTCAATCCTGTTTTAACTGCCTTTCATGTAAACTATTAATTAGAAGTGCCTAAAATATAGGTAACACTTAACGACAATAGGTTGGTTGTGAAAGCAACTGTCGGATCTTATTCCTCATTTCATAAACATAGAATGCACTGGTAGCAAGCAGGAGCTCCACCCTAATCTGTGTCATTTTATCCCTCTTTAAAAAAAAATCATTAAGGAATCTGTTACTCAAAATCCACAAATAGGCCTTCTTTTAATGTAAAATAAGAAAAAAAGAACAGAAAAAATATAGAAATGTTGTCAGAATGATTACATGACAACTTTCCTTCGAGGTAGCATTTCGAAACTGTGTCGCACCCTGTAATTAAAGGAATGCCAAGGACTTCTATAAAGATTTCTAGACCTCAGGATATTGAGGATCAAGCTAGAGGTCATGTAGTGAAAAAAAAAATTTCTCACTCATCCCATTTTGTAAATGGCAGCAACTACACTAAGATTGTATTCTGATATCGCAAATAGTAACAGAGAAGTAGAAATACCTGAAAATATTCTTGTTAAAAATGCATCGGATACACTGACCTTTACACTTAGCCTGCTCCTAACGCTTACAGAACAAAAAGAACCTCGTTACCCTTGCTTCACCTGTCTCCCTACTTACTTCTCGGAGGCTGGCACGCTACTGGCGTAGCCATAGCTAGGCCAACTTAGAGGCTCTACGGAGAAGGGAGAGAAGATAAACAGCTACGGTCAGCTCCGCGCTCACAAACCGAAAGCGGCAGCGCAGCGGAGCCCCCCCCACACCGCCAGGGCGAGGCCGCGGCCCGGGCCCCCCCCCCCCCTTCTCCCTTCCCTTCCCCTCCCCGGGCCCCGCCGCAAGGTGAACTCCCCGGCGCGGCCATCTTGGGCATCCCGCGCTGCCCCCCGCCCTTATGTAACCGCCGCCCGCTCCGGGCCGGGCCGCAGCCCCGAGGCACCGAGGCCCGAGGGGCTCCGCCGCCACCTCCCCCCCCCCCCCCCCGCACCCCCATGGCCGCTCCCGCCCCGCCGCCACCGGGCAGCCGAGCCCCAGCCCCAGCCCCAGCCCCGCGCCCCTGCCTCGCTCCCGGCCCCGCTCGCCGCCCCCTCGGCCGCGGCCGGCACCTGGCTGGCGCGGGACGGCGGAGGAGCGGGGCCGGGGCCAGGCGGAGCGGGGAGGAGGCCGCGCTGCTGCAGGCGCTGGCACTGGAGGGCGAACTGAAGGAGACACCGGGATCCGCCCGCCCGCCGCCGCCCCGCAGGACCCCAGCGAGCCGGGGCCGCCCCGCGCCCCGCCTCACCGCCGCACCACGCCGGGAGGCGGCCCCCGCCCGCCGCAGGCCGCCGCCGCCGCCCCGCGAAACGCGCCGGGGAGAGCGCGGGGGGACGCGGCAGCCGCCGGCCAGCCCCGAGCCCCCCGGGGGGCGCCGCGAGCCGCAGGCGCTCGCGCGGGCAGCCCCGGCGGCCGCGAGGGGCCCGCGGGAGGGCGGGGCCTGCGGAGGGAGGGCGGCAACGGCCGCGCCCGGCGCCTCACGGGCACCGCGGGGGGGGCGAGGCCTCTTCGCGCCCCGCGGCAGCGCACGGCGGAGCTTGGGGAGAGGCGGCCGCGGGGGGCTCCTGGCGGGCTGCGGGGCCGCCACCGGGAGCAGCGGCGGTGGCAGGGAGCTCGGCCGCAGCCCCGCTCACCGACACGGGTCACTGCGCGCTAGGCCCCGCAGCGTGCTCGGGCAGTGCCCTCATGGAACAGCAGAAAGTCAAAGGGACACGGCCGCGCGGTGCGGTGCTGCGGCAGGGACACTGTAACACCAAGCACCAACAAACACCAACAATAAACCACAATACCGGGCACAACAGCAACTCCCCAGCTTATTAAAAATAATATAACTTCAAGGCCCAGCATAATGCCCATCGGCATCTCCCAGTTACATCAAAAGATCAGCAGCTGATTGACCTCTGTTAAAACCCAATACTTCCACAGCAGGAGACCCAAGGGGCTAGTACGCTTAATTCTCTTAAAGATGCCAGCTTGGCAGGCCTGTGAGGGAAGGTATTGATGAATCAAGGAAGAAAACCACATGCTGAGAGCATAAATGACAGTAGACGTACTCTGTCTTACTCTGCACTGGAACAGAGGCTGGGAATAGACAGAGGCCTCATTAAGTAAAGATACATCGTGGCATGAACTGTTCATTATTTAAAAACAGACATTTATTATTCATATCCACAATAGAAAAATCCATTCAGAATAAAAGTTAAGTTACTTACATCAGGCAGCTGGATCTCTTTTTACTATTAATACTTTAGTCATGGATTGGCTGAATGGTTTTTTTAAGCAATACAGGAAAGTGACTACTGCCCCACCCTAAGGGGAAAAGTACTGAATCACTTGCTTTATGAAACAAAACAGACATAATCCAAAACAGCAGTGCACGAACTCCTCTGTACGAACACTGCAAGCTTCTGTAGCTAGCGTCTGTTGCCCTGTCTTTCCCATGTTCACCACATATCTCACAGCGGATCTTCTGCACCCCAGAGCACCAAGAAGGAATGCCTTCAAGCCCGCCATAATTTATCAGTTTTATCCTGGACCTTTCTTCCTACAGCCTGGGCTTCGCCATCATCCCCCAGCACACATACATCCCATACAGCTGTGCTTGCTCTAAATGAGCTTGCTTCCACTTGTAACTAATCAGCTCTCACATACATGCCACTCAGCTGTTTCCTTCCACTTGCAGTTTACCTATCACTGCTTTGAACAAGTACAACTATACGTATCCATGACTGACATGAGTGAATCATATGCTTTACTGGCACTGCTTGGAAAAAAACACTCTACTGCAAGAACATACTTTTTGAACACAAACCCTGCTTATCTTTCCATACATTATAATCATGATTACTTGATTAAGTAATATATCTGACCATCAAAAAGAGAGCAATTATCTAGTGTGCATATCAATTTCCATCAAACATCTTGGATAATTTTATGTTCACTTATAGCCCAAGCCTGAATTCACGGTCTGCCCTCCCCACAAGATGCAGGCCTTTGAGCATTAGAAATTCAGTAGAGAGCAAGCCTTAATGAAAGCCTAACAATGATCAACTAGGTAAACTAGGACTCCTCATTCAGAAAACAAATTGACCAAAGAGATACTGAAGAGATCATAAAATTATAAACAGCAGGGAAAGGGAGGGAAATAGGTGAAGCTAGCAGGAAACAAATTCAGAACCAGCAAAGGAGGGCACATTTTATTGTTGTTTTTGTTTGTTTGTTTTCCTCTCCCCACCAAAGGAGCGTCATTCAGTGAAAATTCTTGCCACAAGATGTTTAATGTTTTTTGGGCTCCAGGGGAATGTAGACTGGTTTGTGGAAGAGAAATCCTGTGAGGATTACTAATTACTAATCCATTAGATATGGCTGTATGACCTTGTTGGAGTCAGAAAATGCCTGAGCTACAAACAGAGGCGTCATTTAAGCTCACTCTGTTCTCACGCTCCTTGTTAGGCATGCCTTGCCTAATTCATTGCTTAACTCATCATCTCAGTGGCAGGAATATTAGGCTAGCTACACCTTTTATTTACTAACATGCAACTGCCCTTATGCAAGCAGGACATCTGGAAAGCCCTATGAGGGCAGGCAGATGAGTCCCATACTGCCAGGATCCTTTAGACTGAAATTAAATGCCTTTTATTTCCCCCACCCCCCAGCAGTTTTCAGTGGTCTTCTTTCAGTTTGGCTTAAACAATTAGGGGGAAGTAACTTAAGCCAGCTTCTAGGATACAGATAAAACAGGTCCACATAGAGGCTGACACTTAAACAAGCTGATAAATATGCACATCCAGATAGTCTCTTACCTCAGAGAAACACCAATGAACAATGGAAAGCCTGGCACTTCAGTGATGAGAGGACAAACAGAAAGCAAATTTGGGAAAGCCAACAATGGTGGGAAAAAGGGAAACCAAAACAGAAAGCAAAACAGAAAACTAATCTGGGAAACCAAATGGCGTGCAGGCCCTAGTGAGGCTGACACAGAGCCTCTTGCAGCTACCTACCTAACCCAAGCTGATTCCCCACAGCCCTGAAGCCAAAGCAAATCACAGAGTCACAGAATCACCTAGGTAGGAAGAGACCTCCAAGATCACTTAGTCCAACCTCTGACCTAACACTAACAAATCCTCCACTAAGGATCCTCCACATATAAACGTCTTTGAAAGGCATCCAGGGATGGTAACTCAACCACTGCCCTGGACAGCCTATTCTAATGCCTCACAACCCTTTCAGTAAAGGAGTTCTTCCTAACATCCAACCTAAACCTTCCCTGACGCAACTTAAGTCCATTCCCCCTCGTCTTGTCACCAGGCATGTGGGAGAATAGACCAACCCCCACCTCTCTACAGCCTCCTTTAAGATATCTGTAGAGAGCGATAAGGTCGCCCCTGAGCCTCCTCTTCTCCAGGCTGAACAAGCCCAGCTCCCTCAGCTGCTCTTCCTAAGACTTGTTCTCCAGATCCCTTGCTGGCTTTTTTGCCCTTCTGTGAACTCACTCAAGCATCTTGATGTCCTGTGACTGTCCAAGTGATTGGAGACAATCACTTCCCTAGACACACTGGCCACACTGCTTCTTATACAAGCCAGGATGCTGTTGGCCTTTTTGGCCACCTGAGCACACTGCTGGCTCATATTCAGCCGACTGTCCACCATCACTCCAGGTCCTTCTCTGCCTGGCAGCTCTCCAACCACTCATCTCCCAGCCTGTAGCTCTGCTTGGGGTTATTGCACCCCAGGTGCAGGACCCGGCACTTGGCCTTGTTGAACTTCATGCAGTTGACTTCAGCCCATCTGTCCAGCCTATCCAGATCCTCCTGCAGAGCCTTCCTACCCTTGAGCAGATCGACATACACACCTAGCTTGGCATCGTCGATCCCCTCATCCAGATCATTGATAAAGACATTAAAGAGAACTGGCCCTAGTACTGAGCCCTGGGGGTCTCCACTAGTGACTGGGCTCCAACTGGATTTAACTTCATTAACCACAACTCTTCAGGCTCGGCTATTCAGCCAGCTTTTAACTCAACAAAGTGTACGGCAGTCCAAACCATGAGCAGCCAGTTTCTTGAGGAGAAATAAGAATCTAGTCCTTGTTGTGACAGCCTATAGAGATACTGCACACTCTTTTAGCCTATAACCAATGCTAAATTGTCCCATCCCCAAGTAAACAGAAAGAGGGATAGGAAAAAGGTTCTGTTAAAGAGCAAGAAGAAATTGAAATGAAAACCAACCTCTGCAGATATGCCTGTACTTATTCCTTCTTCTAGGTTTTTCTTTGGTCAACTGTAAATTTGTATTCATCTTTGTTCTTCGTGTTGCAGCTTCCATTTCCTCAGAAAATTTCTTTTTTCTTTGTACCCAGTAGCTCAAGGAATAAGCAACTTTTTAATAAAATTAACTTCTACTACCTGCTAGATCTCAAACCATCAGATTTCCTGAAGCTCTAAAATGAGTAAATTAATAGACTTCTCTCCTTTGGGGGAAACACCACCTGGAAAGGGAGGGGCAATTAAACAATCAGATGATGATCTGTAAGCAAAACACAATAATTCTTGAAAAACACATTGAGAAAGTCAAAAAGAGATGCCCAGTACCCTTAAATGACTTATGTGGAGCAATTGGCACATGATTTGAGTGATTGGCAGAACAGTTCTCACCTGCTGTAAATACGAGACTGACTACTCATTTCTGCTGTTATTGATGTTTCTCCTTTTAATTTCTGCTCAAGGTTTCTGTTCCATGACCCCCATCTCATGTTTTCCTTGGGTGTTTTTCTCCGTTTTATACCAACAGAGAAGACTGGAATCAAAGAGATCAAAGAGAGGACAGAAGCATCGAGATTCCTGGCTATCAATCCTATATTTAGACCATATCTGTCATATGCCATTAAACTAAGCCATACAAACCATCTGTATATAATGAAAGATTATTGCTTTTTGTAGGTCTACACCCTATTACCACATGCTATTAACAGCTGGACAGTTAGAGCTAATTTGCTAATTAACTTTGATTGAGGTTTGATTTATATGCTGGATAATGCTCCTAATTAGATAAATAAAATAAAATAAAATAAAATAAAATAAAATAAAATAAAATAAAATAAAATAAAATAAAATAAAATAAAATAAAATAAAATAAGAGAGAGAGAGAAAAAGGAAAGTAGACTATAGCATCTTTTTAAAGACTTAGGCCAGGCTATATTTGATGTGGAAAATACATATGCTGCAAAAAT